GTACTTCACTACCTCGTCAACGTCGCCCAACCCCCTGTCTGTCCGAACCTTCAAGCAATGTGGCGACCCCCACCCAACCTAACCGCAGAGTCCCTGCATCAAATGGTCCAAGAGACTACCATCGCGGGCTACACCGTGCGCTTCTACGACAACGAGCCAGAAATTGTCCGGGCCTCGCAAGCCGGCAACCTCACGCAAAACACTCAGTGTCTCGGCGCCTTACTCCGCGGCTTCTTTCAATACTACTCCTCCATCACCCCCGGCTACGGACCACGCCCACCCACCTTCTACTGGACCAACGAGGTTCTGAGTCTCCGTACGCCAGGCGGTATCCGCTCAAAAATCGACAAGGGCTGGACAGGCGCCAAAACCACGGTGTCTAACGGTAAAGAGGTCCGGAACCGTTATCTCTTTTGTATCGAGGATCCTTTCGAGCTTGATCATAATGTCGCGAGAACGGTCACACATTTTGGCATCGTTGCTATCCGTGATGAGTTCCGTCGTGCTTGGAGGATCCTGAGCCGCATTGGGAAGGGGCAGGAACCTGAGGGTGGTCTCTTCGACGAGATTATTGAACCGGATTCGCCGATGCCTGAAGGCATGGCGGGCGCGGATGATTCACGTCCTGACGGCACTGCTGTTCCTACTGCTGAGGATGGTGCCATGATGCGGAATGCGGAGGAACAAAAGTAGGACGGTACTAGCATGGTGACGGCGCAAGATGAATACGTGAATAGGGTATTGTATGGTTTTTGATATAGCCAGGTATGATTTCGCAGTGGCTGCTTTTCCTTTTCTCCATTCATGTTTTATCGAGGTATTGGTGGGACACCTGGGATGGCGGTTACGGTTGGCATTCTAGGTGCTTGTTCTTCTCTTGACAGTTGATTGGTATGGAGGTTTTCGTGGATGACGATGCGTTAATGGATTGCGCCAATCGACACGATGGGTTCAATTAAAGATACCAGGAATTTCCATGTAATAATGAATGATCGTTCATGATTGACGAATTGCGTCAGGTCGGTTTATGTTGTGAGTCTCACGAGAGCTGATTTCTGGGTGCAGACAGATGACATTCTTGAATCAATCAGGTAGAAGAGGTTATGAGATATTGAAGCCTTCTGTCATGCGCTTGAGGGGATCCATATCCCATATTTAAACAAACTCCAACCATATTCCTCGCCGCATATCCATACTCCATAGTCCATGACATGTGTTTCATACCGCATCTCTAGGCCTGTGAAACAGGCAGATGCAAAACTCATGATCGGATAACACCACCCTAGGAAAGAAAATGGAAACCAGAATCGAATGAATCCAATCAAGGAAATAAAGTGAGAGACCAGCCATCGAAGGCCACCCGTTTATGTACCCATGCCTTTTTGTAATTTCCAGACCGAACCTTGTGGTATACCGTATCATTCAAACCCCATCAATCAAAACCCATTAGTCGTCACTCCATCACCTCGATTGCTTCAGGTCGCCCTTTAATTTTGGTTCCTTTTTTTCATCAACGTGTACTTCTCCGCAAGCTTCGTATGGATCATCTCGCCCATTCCAGGAAACTCATTCATCTTCTTCACGAAATTCATGCCGAGCATGCTCAAAACTCGGTAGTACTGATCGGCTAGAAACCCTGCAAGCATTTCTCTGAGTTCGGTATGCTCTTCAGGGAGTATACCCCCTCCGTTTGTATCGTCGAATGCGATCGTGGCGAACGAAAGTACTTCGAGGGGATCCCATGGCACCAGCTCGTTTAACTTGTGGACAATGTGTTGCAGAAGATCATGCATGCCAAGGGTATCCGCTATGACCCAGGCTTCTGCGCACTCGGTGAATGCATCGACGCGATTCTCATCCGTGATATGTGGCGGGCCGAATTGATCGTTCTCCAAGTACTTCGCAACATCTGAGATGTGGCAAGAACGTAGAGTCAGCGTCTATTTTTACACGCGGAAAAGAGAGATGAACTCACGTTTGAAGTGATCGGGATTCATCGAGGCGAGGCTTGGAATCTCAATAGACCAACCTTCGGTGCCTTTGGTTCGCAAGTAGGCGTGATGCCGACTGGAGAAGTAGCTGCGTTTGTCTACGGCACTTTTGGGGACAATGAATGATTGCTTCTCTGGTCCGACCAAAAATTCGACATAAGCATCCGAAAAGTTGCTATTGAGTACGGTTAGCAGTTCGTTTGTATAGTGAGTAAAGGCAGACAATTACAGTTCGCCCTCGATAACGTCTCCATGGTTGACCTTTTGCCGTTTCGACTGAGGGCTATGTGAAGTAGATGCGTCCAGACAGGCCCCCGCAGAAAAATAGGACCGAATATCCGGTTTCGGTGCTGTTGGAGACGGAGATGGCGAAGGAAGTCCGAAGGTTCGGGGCCTGTTTTGATCCATTAAGCTCAGTCGAATTGCTTCCAAAATGTCAGCATCCTCATTCTCATCACCCGAGACACTTGGCCTGTCACTGATCGGCATTGGGTTAGATCTTTTGTCTAGAAAATGTCTCCAATACTCGACTTCATGCCCAAACTCCATGGCTTCTTGAATGCGGTCGTAGGCTTCTTTCAATCCGTCGTGCTTTGCTATGACATCTGGGTCCGGAAAGGGGTCATAGTCGCACGTGTCTCCCGGAAGAACATATTTGCTACTGGTGTTAGCTCCTTTCATGACGAACAACATATATTTCAACCCTACAATTCAGGAGACTTTTTGATTAGCATGATTAAAGAGTAAAAACCGTGGGGTTGTCTTTCAGCTACAGCTGCAGGCGCGAGCTCTTCTGGGCAGACAAATGCCGGCCACGGTGGAGCTCGGAGTTGTTGATAAAGGACATAGCCTCCAATGTTAGGTTCCATGGCCATTTCGAGATTTTTTAGAGCTCGGACGTCTCGGGGTGAGTCTAGGAAGCTAGTTTCTCCAATATTAAAGAAGTAAGATGGTCCAAGGTGAGAGTCCAGCGGAGATGGAAAGAGGGTTTGAGAGGAAAGCTGAGATCTCAAAAGATGATTCAGAAAAAGGGCCGAGTCAAAGGAGATCGAACAGATTAGTGAAAGAAGACACAAAAGGACAAGTTGAGGAAGGAAGGCTGAAGGTAGTGAAGAGTTGGAGAGTTGAAGACTTGGAGACTTGGAGAGTGACCAGTCAATAGTAAGGCTTTTTAGCCTGTCAGACATCGGGACGTGGTGAGACAAATTGCGAGAACCATGAAAAGACGTCCCTTCAGCAAATTTTCAATTGATGTAGAGCGTACATGAGTTGCTAAGAGCCGCCTCCAATCCCTTTGAAGTAATTACCTTCCAGGACGGTTGAAGAGAACTCATAAGCCTAGATATTTAGTCTCATGCCGGTGATCATCACTAGATCCTTTGATCAATATACAACCAACGATTCTTTTACCTTTTCCGACAGAGATGGTCGAGATCTTACGAAACATGGATGTGATGTCTGTAGGTAGTAGTTCCAATCGACGTGATGTTGAAGGTGATCCGCTTAGTCACCCAAAACCAGGGTCCACGTCCACCAATCGCTGGAGACGCGGACGATATCTGGCATTAAGCTCCAGCAGCAGTCAGAGCCGCATTCGCAACACGACAGCAATTCGGTCTTCGCTCCCTTCCTTCGGCCAATAACCCACGAAACCACAGGAAGCGCCGAATGTTCTGAAAAAAAAAACCCCCCCCTCCGCCTCAACAATCCCTCCAAGTTCCAAATTTCCGCAACATCCCCTCTCCACCTCCGCGAAATCCATCCATACATCAGCGTACTACAAAAGTGGAAACACGCAAGACCACAATGCTCGGCCTCTCAGATATGCAACCGCGACAACTCGCCGGGCAAATTCTAAACTTCGCTCTTGTCCTATCAACAGCATTCATGCTCTGGAAGGGCCTCAGCGTAGCCACCGATTCGCCGTCACCCATCGTCGTCGTGCTCTCCGGATCCATGGAGCCTGCCTTTGAACGCGGCGACCTGCTCTTCCTGTGGAACCGCGGCATGGACACGCAGATTGGGGAGATTGTTGTGTATAATGTGAAGGGCAAGGACATTCCGATTGTGCATCGAGTTGTGAGGCGGTACGGTGGAGGGTAAGTTGGCGCTTTTCTTGATTATTGGCGACTTTTTGGGGAGCGGGGTTTTGTCTACATGGTGGTGGAGTTTTGCATTCGTGATTCTTTGTCAGAGGAGAGGATCTGGGCTAATACAACCGGGATATGACAGGAAAACCCCCCTCCGCTTGCTCACCAAGGGAGACAACAACGTCGCAGACGACACCGAACTCTACGCCGTCGGCCAAAACTTCCTCAACCGCAAAGAAGACGTTATCGGAAGTGTTTTTGGATTCATACCATACGTAGGATACGTCACCATCCTGCTGAGTGAATACCCGTGGTTGAAACAGGCTATGCTGGGTATAATGGGTTTGATGGTGGTGTTGCAGCGAGAATAAGGGGACGGTCATTTTTTTTTTTTTTCTTGAAAAGAAGAGTTATAAATTTGTCGTATTCTAGGGTTATGGCTTTGGGAACGGACGGGGCTTCATACATGTTATACAGGGTTGCAAAGATCCGCGTGCTGGCTGTGATTTTTCAATGTTGGTACGGCCAGGAAACAACACTACATCTCATATCTCAGCAACTGAGAGTCATGAGTGCATATTTCTCCCGTATGATGGAGAAGCAAAAAGCAACTTTTTATCTGCGTTATCACCACCGAATATGCCACATCAATCATGATCACGTTTTTTTTCCCCAACCGCATTTGAATAACTACACCATACACCATACCCATACCCATACCCACCCTTCTTCCCCTCACACTGTAATAATCCTCCTCCCTTGTCCAAACCCCTCCGCTCCCCCAAAAAAAAAAATAAAAAAAAAAAAAAGTAACAGTCATCATCTGCGCCGTGTGGGGTCTAACAACACAAGCTTGATTAGCAACATTTCTCTCTCACACACATATATATACTCTTTTCAAACTTTGAAATAACGGAAATGACTAGTAACGTACTCGAACCCACGACCCCTGCCTGATTTCCAATTTACACCCACCGATGTTATCAATCGATAACATGGGCGTTTGTTTGGGAAGGCAGTATGCTAACCACTGCACTAACGGCGCTTTGTTTGGATTGTATGTAATTGATGCTGTGAGACGTTGGTAAAAATGGATATATACTTTGATAATAATATGTGTGTGGGGGGTGAGAGGGATGTGAGAGGGATATAAGAGGGGAACGGTGAAGAAGCGGTCTGGGGAAAAAACGAATGGGGGGGGAGGTTTGTGTGACCAGGAAATGGGATTGCTTGATTGGGGGGTGGGGGAGGGAGGATTACACTGGGGAGATTTTGCATGGACGTTGGACAGAACGGATGGGTACGTGTACTTTTCCCGTTTGCGAACGAAGGGGTTTGTGTATGAGAAGGGGGGTTTTTTGGGGGGGTGTTGGTATGTAACGTATTTGAGTGTGTATAGATTGATGCCGACATGTATTGTGTGTATTGGGTTTAGAGAGGTGGATATGTACATGTACGTTTGGTAAAAGAATAATGGTGGAGAATTTCAAGGAAATACATCTTAGGTTGATGTGCTACATATGGAATCTAACATGGGTGACATGTACTAAACTGCATATATGTGCACGTATCTTTACTATACAATGAACTAGCTACATAGGCAAAGACGTGGGAACGCAGGGCTCAGGGATTAGTTGTCACAAAGACATAGATTGATGCAATATTTTTATCCGACTTGAACAAATATATCGTGAGATGCATACCATGTTGGGGGAATACACCTGGGATCCAATTTACGAAGGCATGAACAGCGCTACGCGGGGATCCCGAGGAAATGGTGACTACCTAGGTACATACCACCACAACATCATCACAGTGACAGCAAAGAAGAGAGAAAAATGTCTGTGTAGCAGTTTGTTTTCCGTACCGCAGATAACTAGTGTACATGTGGCATGAGCCTCGTGATGTCTCGGGCGTCGGGTTATTATGACCTGGACGCCAAACATCGTTATTGAAGCTTCATGAGAGAGCTTCCTGCGGCCTCATAGAAAATATCATCTCTAAGTGGAAAAGCTCCCTGCAAATACCCCTTGTGATGGAAAAGATGCTGGAAGCATAAAAACATAGGAACCATTGGCGATACCCCCCAAACTCGCCACCCTATCAATGAAGGCTGAGGATTATTCAGGCAACATCATGGTGAGTAGCGTGATGAAGGAGATCGATTGACAATGTGAATTTAGTCAGACTCCTCCTCCTCGTCATCAGCGCCAGCCTAGGAATGTTAGTCGTGCAGTGAAAAGACGGGGGCAATACACACAAGACGTACCGCGTAGGCAGCTTTCTCATCCTCGTAACGCTTCTTGTCGGCAGCAGCCTTGGCCTCGTAAGGAGCACGCTGCTTGTCGGAGAGAGTCTTCCACTTCTCACCGAGCATCTTGCCGACATCACCTAGACAAGTCAGACATGCATGATCAGGAATACATGGAGACGACGATTACATACCGAACTTGATTCCAGGGTTCTCTTCACGGACCTTGTCGCGCTGGTCGTTGGCGAAGAACATGTAAGCGGAGAGACCACGCTTGGGGGCGTTGGGGTCTGTTGACGTTAGATGGATGCACAGGTACAATGGATGCAAGTGCGGGGGGGTTACATACCCTTCTTCTTCTTGCCACCTTCGGCCTTCTTGCCCTTGCCGCGGGTAGTCTTCTCCTTAGGCATAGTGGTGTATGTTTAGGAGGTTGTTTGGAGGTTTCTGTAAGAGAGTGTAAGTGGGTTGAGTGTGAAAAGTTGGGAGTGTGCGCGTATAAGCAAGAAGGCGCAAAACAAAGGCAGAAGCGAGGAGCCACAATTTCAAGAGGCTGGTGTTGTTGTTGTGGTTGTGGTTGTTTGGAGCAGGTTGGCGCAACCGTGACTGCGGGTGGGCAGAGGCGCGTGCTTGGTCGCAGCGCGTCGAGCAAAACACCACGACGGGTCACGGGGTTTTGGGCGCGATTTTTGGAGAATTGGGAAGGCAGACTTACAAGTAGTTCGGATTGATTGTGTATAGGAAATAGGCTTGACAGTGTCCTGTGGTTTGTTAGTATTGATGGCGGTAGGCGGTATGGTGGATGGCGAGTGAGCGACTTGAATGAAAAGTGATGACGCGCTGAAGAAAGAAAAGTAGCTGAAGAAGACATGATGGCGCGTCAAGAGGGAGGAAAATGGGGTAAAAAAAAGTGGTGGTGGTTGCGCGCATGGTGCAGAGGGCATCACGGTGGAGGTAGATGGAAGCGAGGACCTACCAGGCGTTGTTGGGCGCAGAAGATATTGAGGGCTCAGTACAGAGAGAGGAGTTGTGTGAGCGGACAAGCTGTAGTAGCAGCAGCAGAGGGCAGGCAAAGAACCCCCATAAAAACTGCGGCCGCGCCGCACGTGATCTTGCAACAAAGGGCGGGGGGAAGGAACCATGCGCCGATACTGCCGCACTGGCAACCAGACTGGCTTGGAATGGTGGCTGCACTCACACTGCAAGCGCTCGCCAGTCCAGTCCCCAGTGAGTGTCTGTGATGCGATGCGATGCGAGTCTGCCCCGTGGGCCGTCCGTAGGTACTGTGTACCTGAGCTGTACCTCTTCTCTTTTTTTTTGTCGTTGTTTGTTGTTCTTGATGCATACATACCTTGTAGTATGTACCATCACCATTCTACGCCCCTTTTTTATTGCACTCCATCACTTGATGTATACATACACACTGCCTCAACTCGTTTTTCCCCCAGGTACATAGACCTCTTTTCCGCTAGTTGACCATCCGTGTGCATCCTTGCGCTTGAGCCTGCCTGCCTGCCTGTCTTGGGCTGAGGGAGAGTGACAGGAGAGTCTCGATTCTGCCCTGCCCTGCCTGCCGTCTACCCTCCCTAACCCTCTCGCTCACGTCCACTCCTTCTCTTTGCCGGTTCGGAGGCAGGGCACGCCCTCCCTTTCGCTCGCTCGCTCGCTCGCTCAGCATTCCCTTCTGCCCACCCACTTCCCTGGCCACCACCCGTTTCATGTGCCCCGTTAGATTATTTTGCAGGCGAGCCGAAGCAACATCATTCGCCTGCCCGTGAAATTGATGCCCCAAATCTCGCACTGTGATCCCGCCGTGGCCCCAGGGCATCCTAAACCGGGCACCCTACATGATGGTACAGTACAGTACAGTACAGTACATACTACAGTACAGTACATACAGAGGTCCCTCTCCTAGGCTGTCTGTGACTCTCCGCTTGCGCATACCCACCCACCACACCTTTTTCTGCGCCTGGGCCAGCAACCCTCTCGGCAGATGCACCAGCTCCCCACTAGCCCGCGGCCCGCTGCAAGACCGCCTCCCTTGGGGCCTAATATAATGGTTAGCTGATAGCCGTGTCCTCGCTACCTTCGCCCTCTGCTGCTTGTATGCGACAGCTTGTGGTGTCGTCCATACAGACGTAGCACCTGTGGGACCGCATTCGTCATCCGGCCGCTAAACCGCTTTGGGTAGTGTAAAGAGAATGCACCTCCATGGAACATGACGTACCTACCGCCTTGATCATTTTTCATGAGGCAGGCTGAAATAGCAGCCACCAAATAAATGCAACTACTTAACGTATTCATTGTCCGGCTCTCATGTCAGAACCAGCGGACGGTTGGGTTGCTGCCTCAGCTCACCCTCGACTCTTGGGCGTCCAACCACCCTGGCACCCAACGCCGTCTTCAGGAATCCGCTGCCCTGCTCCTAGCTAGTAACCAAGTGATACGAGGCGTGTTCCTGCAGCTTATCATGAAGCCATTTTTTTCTTCTTTGCCTTCCTCCCCTGTCTACCGCGCCCCCTGCCCTGCGTATGGTGATGCAAATCTCAGATACCAGAGGGTAATTAGCTAAGCATCCCAGGGTCAGCCAGGAACGGTTTGTTGCGCCTTTTTACTCATCTCTTCCCCCGACACCGCATTTGTGTACGCTGCACCACCAATTTTAATTTGCATTTGTTTTTCGCAGAGCAACGTTACATGAGACCTGCCGTGAAAATCACGATATTGCGAATTTGCATTGGTACCAGCCCACACAAGGATAGCCAGAGTTATACCGTCCTACAGTGTTTCATTGCCCATAGATCACAGCTTCTATTGCCAAACGTCAACTCATACTTCAAAGAAATCCATGGCTAGCGACGCATAGTATGAGGACCTGGAAAGCTCAGTCGTCTTCTTCGTCATCCATCACAAGCTCACGCAAAACCTCGTCTTCAGCCCAGTTAATGCCGCTCCCAACAATCATGGCGGAGAGAACTCCTTTCAAAGTCCTCATTCTCTTGCGTGACTCCTTTAATTCCTTCTCCGCAATCTGCACCTGCTTGCGCATTTGAGGGTCCTGGATGTCTTCCGTTGACTGCCCTTTCAGATCCTCCGCGAGCGCAAGATACGTCTGGGACAAATCGCGGTTCCCTTTGTTAGCGCTGATGTTACCTTGTTCAGCTTCACCCAAAGCCCGCGTCGTCGATGCAAGTTGTGATGACAACGATCCATGTACCATAGATAAAGTATCGCTCTCATGAATGAGAGGCAACATACGCCTGTGCCATGTCAGAAACATTAATGTAAACAACCCCCAATCTTGCTTACTTTTCCAGAAAGTCACCATCTTCACCCCCATGCACAGCCTTCAATACAGGATCCATCACAAGAACATTATGCGATACCCTGTTTCGAATTTCGAACTTGGCCTTCGCGTCCATGGCATCGCGTTGCGCCGTGATCAGCTGTTCCTGCAGTTCATCATCTGACAGCGCCGATGTGTCAGGCACATGAGCTGCAAGAGGATTAATATGCATGTACGTTTGTTTTGAATCATGCTTTCAGCGATCATGTGACGAACCGGACTCGTGTGCCTTGATGAGGCTCCTCTGTAACTCGAGTTCCCGCAGTTGATCGTACAGCTGCAATACGCGCTCTTCGAGATCAGAAAACGCGAACGCGTCGCTATGCGGCGTGTGAAGCAAGCTAGAGAGGTCAGATGCGACAGTTTTTGTCTCGGCAGCCCCATCGGTCATGATAACATCTTGGGTGGCAGCCATGATATAGGTGGATCGACCAGTTTATCAAATT